ATGCCCATGCTCTATTTCCCAGGGAAACTGGGCAAGCAATACTGCTGCTTTTATTTTCTGTAAGTGGGAGAGAGGTTCTGCTTCCCACAAATGAAATGGCAGAATAACTCCAGTATGGGAAGAGGACATAATGACAAGAGTCTACTGCATAGGGTCACAAGTTACAGATGTTCTAGAATTTAGACTGTCATTCTTGTGTATCTATTGTACTTGTATGAGTTAATTCAGTCACTCGTATCAGTGAAATAATGTAAAGGGATCTCCAACTTTCATTTTCTTAACCTTCATTATCTGCACCATTCAGGGATAACTTAAACTCCTTTTGTCTCAGCATGCTTCTAATCTTCTCTGTAGTTGATATGTGGAAACTGACTATTTTACCAGGTATTTGTCTTTTGACCAATTAGTGCTGGAAATGAAAAAAAAGGTCCAAGAGCCAAAATGTCTACTAAAATGTCAATTCTTTAGTTTCATGGCTGTTTCCAGTTTCCTTTTCAAAAGGAAAATATGAGAAGGACCGACCTCCTAGGACATGGAGCAGAAGTTGCAAGTGCAGGCTGATTTATAGGCCATTTGACAGTGAAAGTTTCTTTTGTAGGATCTGAGCAGTTATGGCACTGACTTGAGAAGAAGCTAAAATTGTGGTAAATTTGTGTAATGAGGTAGAAGGGTTTCTTGGGACCTACGTAAGTCTTGGTCACCACCAAAACTGGTTTGAGGAGCTATACTTTTAAGTCTTTGGCTGCATCAGGATAGTAATTCTTCCAAGATAAAGTGGGCCTGACATTTATAAAATGATAATAATAATGAAATGAAATCAACTTTTGGTTACTTAACTCTGGTTCTTCACATTTTCCTGAAAGTACCTTATATACCCAATATTCTTCTTCTGGGTTCCACTGTTTCCTCTTATTTTCTTTCCTGACTCCTTGGCCCATCTTCCTCCTTCCTGTGTCTTTAGGTGGCAGTTTCATGGCTGAACCTACTTTACCAAATGATTTGCCTCATCTGTTACCATTATAGCCTCTTCTAACTAAATGCCCCCACTGAAAGAACTTTCTTAAAGAAATGGATAGGAGAGTAAATTAATATATTAATAATTGAAGGGCAATTGGAAAATGCTATCAAACAATTTTGTATTTAGATGATACAATTCCACTTCTAGGAGTTTATCTCAAAGAATGAATATAATATGAATGATATATTATATATCATTCATTATATATATACTCATTATTCATTATTATGTTATTCATATTCATTATTATATTATTATATATTATATATATTCATTATATATATGAATACTCTCATATATATTGATGTTCAATATGCTTTTGTTTATGATAATGAAAAATTAGAATACATCTTCATGCATATTACTGGAATTCTGGTTCATTTTGTTTGGCGGTGAGATAGGCAGTGTTATCTGTTCACAGTTCTTCCTTGCTTTCCTGTCTTTGCCATGGCTTTGCTGGGGCAGAATACACATCTCCATCCCATTGACTTTGGGCTGGCTTTAGCTACTTTATGAACAGGCATAACAAATGTCATTTCCAATTAAAAGCTGTGACTGGGTTCAGATCATTTTGTTTGCCCTCTTGATCTCTGGCTCATCTCATGTAGCTAAAGCCCCTTAGCTTGAATCTCAGAATGTGAAACATATAGACCAGACCTGAACTTGACCCTGGATCTGAAGCACAGTTCCCTCTTTTAACCTGCAGACTTTTGATTGAGAAATAAATGTCTGTTGTTATAAGCCACTGTGGTTTGGATTATCTTTTATTCAATACTTTGAAGGAAATGTCAACCAATACAATACACACATACTAGGAACTGCGGTGCAGTCAATAAAAAAATGAGGCAGAATAATTATTGGCCTTACTCTCATTTCATCAGTAGCCTTTAGGTACATACAGATATCCAAAACTTTAACTACTAACTCTTTGTTCTTTTCTCCCATTATTTCTTCATCTGTATGCTATTGATAGTAATAAGAATAATAGTAATAATAGGACACACACATATGGTTTTCATGAGCTGGTCACTATTACGAGTGCTTTACATATATTTTACTCATAAAATCCTTTCAACAACCCTAAATTATAGATACTGTTTCTCTCTTCTCTACAGATGGATAACTGAGGCTGAGTAGTTGAATCATTGTCAAAGAGCACTAAATGGTTTTACTTTTTGTAGACTAAGTGCTTGATTTAGCTTTGATTCTGGAGGGTTCCACTTCAGATAGGCTATCTCAATAAACACACTGCCAGCCACACCGACTGGTAAAGAGCCTTAACTCTCCAACCTCCTATGCCACCACCCCTGCTCGTTTGTTTCAGAAATCTTGGCTGATTTAGATTAACTGACCATTTGGGCCATTTGTTTTTTTCTCTTCCCACGCTTTAAATTCCTGCTCTTATGTTTTAAATCCACCAATAGAATCAACCTGTGAAAACCAAGGCCCCTTCCCTCAACCCCAATAAAAGCAGAACACTAAGCCCATGCTCTCCTATGTTTCTCTGTACCTGTGACCTCACTGTGGGGTGCCAGGTGTACAATATGCTTTCCAGGACCTGAGGGTAATAAACATTTTTTTCAAAGCTTCCTGATCATTATTGAGGGCATTTTGTAATCATAATAACTACCAGGGCAGGTCCAGCTAAAACTGGTTACCAATAGCCTGAGAAAAAAAAATCACATGGCAAGTAATGACAATAGTGGGATTCTAATTCATGGTATCTGGTTCCAGAGTCCATCCCCTTGAACATGACCCCACACCACCTTCAACAAAGCCTTTTAGCATTTTCTCTTGGGTTTCTGCACTCTATTTCATTCAGACATCTTCAAGAAGAATAATATTTGGAAAATCATGTTTGCACAAAAGAGCTACTTACTTCTATTATTTCAGTGTAATTATAAATACTGCTCCCTTTATCTCTCAAATGTATGTGTTTCTTTACAGCAACAATACAGACACCATCGCATATAAATAAATGGTACAATGATTCCACCCATTTCCATAGTCCATCTTTGATTCTTCTTTTCCCCTTACATATTACATCAAGTCTACCAGTGTGTTTAAACAGCCTACTTGACATATGTCCCATATAGGACCACTTACTTCTAGTGTTAGAGCCACTTTGAAGACTCTCTCTCCCAATCTCTATTACCAGTGCCTTATGCCCTATACTGTCTTTTATGGACAGACATGAAATCTCAGATAGAATAATTTAGTCACCATAATTACCAAACTGCTAGTTATCACTATGAATTTAAAATAATGTGAGAATGTAAAATTATTATAATTTTAAAAGAGATAGACTACCCTATGGTCTACTCAAAAAAATCACTCTCCTGGGTGAAACACCTATACTCTGAGAACTATAACATGCTGATGCAAGAAACTGGAGATCACACAAATAAATGCAAAGATATTCCATGCTTATGGATTGGGAGAACAAATTTTGTTAAAATGTTCATCCCAAAACAATCTATAGATCTGATGCAATCTCTCTCAAAATACCAACAGCATTTTTCACAGAACTAAAACAAATAATCCTTAAATTTGTATGAAACCACTAAAGACCCTGAATGCCAAAGAATTCTTGAAAAAGAAGAACAGAAGTGGAGGTATCACAATTCCAGATTTCAAGATATACTACAAGGGTACAATAATCAAAACAGTATAGTACCGGCACAAAAATAGACACATGGATCAATGGAACAGAATAAAGAGCCCAGAAATAAACTCACAATTATATGGTCAATTAATCCTTGGCAAAGGAGGCAAGAATATGCAATGGAAAAAAGACAGTCTCTTCAACAAATAGTGTTGGGAAAAGCTGAACAGCTACATGCAAAACAATGAAACTGGACCACTTTCTTGCACCATACACAAAAATAAACTCAAAATGGATTAAAGACATTCATATGAGACAGGAAACTATGAAAATCCTAGAAGAGACCACAGGCAGTAATTTTTCTGACATTGGCCATAGCAACATTTTTCTAGATATGTCTCCTGAGACAAGGGAAAGAAAAGCAAAAATAAACTATTGAAACTACATCAAAATAAAAAGCTTCTGCACAGCAAAGGAAACAAGCAACAAAACAATGAGACAACCTACTGAATGACATTTGTATGAAGACATTTGCCAGTGATATATCTGATAATGGATTAGTATCCCAAATGTATAAATAACTTATGCAACTCAACACCAAAAAAACCACAAATAATCCAATTAAAAATGGGCAGAAGACATTAACAGACAATTCTCCAAAGAAGACCTACAGATGGTCAACAGACACATGAAAAGATACTCATCATCACTTATCATCAGAGAAATGCAAATCAAAACTACAATGAGATATCACCTTACACCTGTCACAACGGCAAGTACATGACACTGCCATAATATCACTAAAATGATCACAGTTCTGCAGGCCTCACTGATGTATAATTTGGCTTAGCAATCCCCTATGCCCATATTAGTTTTAAAAGATAAGAGGTTCAGGTTTGGTGATCTAAAAACAGCAGTTCAGGGGGTGCCTAAGTGGCTCAATTGGTTAAGCATTTGACTCTTGATTTTGGCTCAGGTTATGATCTCAGGGTCATGAGATGGAGCCCCACATCAGGCTCCATGGTCAGCGTGGAGTCTGCTTGAGATTCTTTCTCTCACCACCCTTCTGTCCCTCCACCCATTCTCTCTCTCCTTCTCCCTCTCTTTCTCAATCTCTTAAACAAATAAATATATAAATAAAATCTTTTAAAAAATAAAGTAAATAAATAAAAATATCTGTCCAGTTCCAATATGATGAGATTCTAGGTCAGTCAATGAGGATCAGAACTATTTATTTATGAATTCATTTCTTCCCAAATCCAGGCAGGAGGGAGCCAACAAGGAAAGTTATTTCACAGGATTGTGAACCATACCAGGTATTAGGAATGTAACCCATTTATTTGAGGCATTTTCAAGTTAGACCTTAACTCCTTAGGCTCAGGAGACGTGCTGACATCTCCTGTTCACCTGGGAACCAGGTTGGAAGCTTCCTGAGATGGGGAGTTTCTTGAAAAGCCTTCGCAGAGCCCCTTTAACTTCCTGGTTCCGCAAACTGTAGATTAGTGGGTTTAGCATAGGGGTAACTACTGTGTAAAAGATGGCAACTTGGCGATCCTGGTCCAAGTCATAGCTGGAAGATGGCTGGAGGTACATGCGGATCACAGAGCCATACAGAAGTAGCACAACCAGAATGTGGGAGCTACATGTGGACAGGGCTTTGCGCAGGGCAGAAACTGAGTGCATGCGGACTATGGCAACGCCAATGCGGGCATAGGAACCTAAAATGAAGAAGAAGGGGCTGACCACCACAGCTACACCCTCAGTAAATATTAGCATTTCGTTGACCACTGGTCGGGTGCAGGAGAGCTTCAGCAAGGGTGTGATGTCACAGAAGAAGTGGGTGACCTGGTTGTCGCAAAAGGTTAAGCGGGTGACCAACACACTATAAAGGAGGCTGTTGAGGCTGACGACCACCCATGAGGTCACGGTTATGCGCAGACAGAGGTGATGGCTGATGATGGCAGAGTATCTTAAGGGGTCACAGATGGCAACATAGCGGTCATAGGCCATGGCAGCCAGCAAGTGGCCTTCCATGCTGCCCACAGCCATAAAAAAGAACAGCTGGATCATGCAGCAATTAAAGGAGATGGTTCTATTCGCAGACAGGGTGTGCACCAGCATCTGGGGAACAGTGATGGTTGTCAGAAACATGTCAATGAAGGAAAGCTGACTGAGCAGGAAATACATTGGGGTCTGAAGCTTGGGGTCTGAAAGGGCAACAATTACTAATAGGGCATTGCCCATAAGTGCCACTAGGTACATGGAAAAGACAATCCCGAAAATAACTGGCTGCATCTCTGGCCAGCTGGACAGGCCCAATAAGACAAATTCAGTTACTTCTGTCCTGTTTCTAGTGGCCATAACACAGGATCAATATTACCCACCAACAGCAAGTGTTAGGATTAAATAATGCTGAAGTTTACTCTGGGATAGCCTTTAGGAAACATCTTTTCTTGCATGGATGCCCTAGTTTTCAAAAGAGCTTTTTTTTCTTTCAACTCTTTCCCTTGTCATTATCTTTCTATCCATCCACTGAAGTACCCACCCACACTCTTTAGTTTATTCCAGGCTCATTTGCTGACCACTTACAATCTCTTGATGTGATATATATTAAAGGAAATAGGAGAAATCACTCGTGGTTGCTGTATACCAAAGAAGGCATCACTAAACACAGAATATCTTTGGTGTTTGCAATGCACTGAAGAGCATACTAAACACCATACATTTAATTGTCACAACAATCCCATATGATATAAACTACTTTTTATATTACAGATAAGAGAGCTAAAGCGAAGAGACTACTTTGTTGAAGGTCTTATAGGCTCTGAGAGACAAAACCTGGACTCAACCCTGTATAGTTTTATTAGACATAAGCACCACAATTTGCTGACTGTCAGAGTTGGTAAGAAAAGGAAACTATGTCAAGGCTCCAGGCAGATGTCCGAGTCTCTGTATCTTTGATGGAGCCCTAGAGTGAAGATCTGGTCCTAACTTTGTATGTCCAGAAGCTATTGTTCCTTTGGTAGGGGAATTCTTGCTCCATTAAGTCAACTGAACTTACCTGGGATGAGAGCAGAAATGATTAACATCATCATTGATATTATTAATGATTAATTTTCAATAAATAATGTAATCTTCCAGTAGATGTGAATCTTGTTTCCTTTCAATTCAGGTTTTCCCTATTGGCAGATGTACATGGTATACCAAAGAGGCTACTATTTGGTAAAATACTATATTTTTTCATGAATGAGAGAAAAATTGTTAAACTAGTAGAGTAAAAGGAACATACAATAAAAAGCAAAGTCTCTGACCCTAACTTTGCTTTATGTTTAGTTTTATCTCTTCCAGTGGTTCACACCTCTATGCTTCTAAATCATATACATCTTGTTTATGAATCTATGTACCAGTTTTATCAATTTATCTTCGGGCTCTCTATTATGAAAGATGAGGTTTTATCTTGTTCACATTATCCCCATTCTTCTCTCCTCCTTTCCCCAATTTTTGATGGTTATTTTAGTTCTCTTTTTTTTTAATTAGTTAATTAATTTATTTATTTTCAGCGTAACAGTATTCGTTGTTTTTGCACACACCCAGAGCTCCATGCAATACGTGCCCTCTCTAATACCCACCACCTAGTTCCCCCAACCTCCCACCCCTCGCCGCTTAAATTAGTTGCTTTTCTGCTTTTAAATGGTATGCTTAAATCTATACATTTTTTGCTTTTGTACTTATCTTTTCTAATTTTTTAAGTTTTTTACTTATTTTATTTTTTTATTATGTTCAGTTAGTAAACATACAATACATCATTAGTTTAGCGTTGAATGATTCATTAGTTGTGTATAACACCCAGTGCTCATCACAACACGTTCTTATTCCATCAACTTCAGACTTCTCTTCCTCATCCCTGCACCCTCCCAACCTTTGGAAAGCTGTATCTTGATTTATACATTGTCAAAACTGAAGACATATAAATTGAGTTGTAACCACAGCTAACTCTCCAGGTAAAAGCTAAAAATTAGTAGACTACATTTACATTAGTTTAACTACATAAATATTTTTCATGCAGAGCCAAATGATGTGCTACATTTACATTTATTCTTTGATGCTCCAGTGTTCTACCCACTAAAGGAGAATGTTCCTAATATTCAGATAAAGAATTAAAACTATTTTAAGGACATCTCTCTTGGTGATTTTCTTTACTTAACGATCATGGAACAGGAGCTTAAAAGATAACAAAACCTTTAATTTTCCAGTGTCTGTTAGTTTTTATTTCTTCCTGTAGTCTTCTCTATGTCCATGGATATAGATCAGACTATACCCTCTTGCAATCCTATTACTCATTCAAGGCAGTAGCCATACGAAGATTTCCCCAGGGAGATATAGATGAAGGTGAATGATAAAGGATGGGAAGGAAGAGAGAAGGGATAAGCCCCTTCATGGGGAAAGGGTGAAAAAAAAGTTCTCCAAGAAGGAAAAATTGGAAAAGCGTATAGATTTATCCATTATGGGAAGAATGTAATAACATAGAGTCCATTTTCTTTGAAGAAAAACAAAACTGTGTTTGTAAACTAATTATATGCAAAAAGAGTACTAAGCAGTGGTAGCGCTCTTGTTGGCTGACTTCTTCAAGACTCGTTTCTGTATATTTTCTATTTCCCAATATCTCAACATTATCTCTTCAGAGCCTAAGCTCTAGAAGTCCTGTTTAGACAGCTTTGAGGGATCAAGGATGCTGATGCTAGGGGAAGATAGAGAAAAGAATAGCCCATTTAGGAAAGGTATGAAGATATACACATATACAGATTTTGTATTGAATTGAAATGGGAGAGGAAAAATTGAAATGGGAGAGGTAAAAAAAGAAGAAGAACCCCTGGAAGAACCCCTGGAATGAAACAAAAGCATCTCAGCTTTCCTCATTCCCACCTGGTGCCTCGGAGACATCTAAAATCATTGAGAAGGAATAGAGCTAGGGTGTTAAGGCTTAATCCTTCTTATTCTCATCTTTCTTCTTTGATGGAAGAACCAAAATATATGAGATCATTCACTGTTTCATCAATATCTAAATATTAGGAATGTGCTCTAAATGCCTTCTTGGTCTAAATTCTATTTCTGGTCTGTTCCCCTGTGCTGAGGAATCACAGTTTGAATCTGAGATCTAAAAATCAGAACCTCCTTTTCTCTGTCTCAAAAATGTATCTTCCAAATTCTCACAAAATAAATTAGGACCTTTGTCACACATTTCTTGCACCTGGGAACTGTGAAATATCTTTCCATTCCCTCTCTGACTGCATGACTATATTCTCCATCTAAGCCTTCATATTTTCATTCAAAATCCTGCTTTTTTATGTGTTAAACTAATAACCCTTCCATTCATCCCATTTCTTCCCTTTACTACAATATTTGTTCTCATTCTATTCTTTGATCTTCTTGGCACCAATATCACACCATTTTCTAAAAGAGGATTATGATTATTTTTTTATATTTTTTTAAAATTTTTATTTCTTTTCAGTGTTCCAGAACTCACTGTTTATGCTCTATACTCAGTGCTCCATGCAATATGTGCCCTCCATAATACCCACCACAAGGCTCACCCAACCTCCCACCACCCTCCCCTCCAAAACCCTCAGTTTGTTTCTCAGAGTCCATAGAGTAGAGAGCGCAGATATGGACCCTCAACTTTATGGTCAAATAATCTTTGACAAAGCAGGAAAAAATATACAGTGGAAAAAAGACAGTCTCTGTAATAAATGGTACTGGGAAATTGGACAGCTATGTGTCAAAGAATGAAACTCAACCATTCTCTTACACCATACACAAATACAAACTCAAAATGCATAAAAGAGCTCAACATGAGGCAGAAATCCATCAGAATCCTAGAGGAGAACATAGGCAGTAATCTCTTTGACACCGGCCACAGCAACTTCTTTCAAGATATGTCTCCAAAGGCAAAGGAAACAAAAATGAAAATGAACTTTTGGGACTTCATCAAGATCAAAAGCTTCTGCACAGCAAAGGAAACAGTCAACAAAACAAAGAGGCAACCCATGGAATAGGAGAAGATATTCGCAAATGACAGTACAAAGGGCTGATACCCAAGATCTATAAAGAACTCCTCAAACTCAACACACACAAAACAGATAATCATGTCAAAAAATGGAGAGAATACATGAGTAGACACTTCCCCAAAGAAGACATACAAATGACTAACAGACATGAAAAAAATGTTCATCATCACTAGCCATCAGGGAGATTCAAATCAAAACCACATTGAGATACCACCGTATACCAGGCAGAATGGCCAAAATTAGCAAGACAGGAAACAACATGTGTTGGAGAGGATGTGGAGAAAGGGGAACCCTCTTACACTGTTGGTGGGAATGCAAGTTGGTGCAGCCATTTTGGAAAACAGTGTGGAGATTCCTTAAGAAATTAAAAATAGAGCTTCCCTATGACCCTGCAATTGCACTACTGGGTATTTACCCCAAAGATACAGATGGAGTGAAAAGAAGGGCCATATGTATCCCAAAGTTCATGGCAGCAATGGCCACAGTCGCCAAACTGTGGAAAGAACCAAGATGCCCTTCAACGGACAAATAGATAAGGAAGATGTGGTCCATATATACTATGGAGTATTATGCCTCCATCAGAAAGGATGACTACCCAACTTTTGTATTAACATAGACAGGACTGGAAGAGATTATGCTGAATGAAATAAGTCAAGCAGAGACAGTCAATTATCATATGGTTTCACTTATATGTGGAGCATAAGGAATAACACAGAGGACATGGGGAAATGGAGAGAAAAAAGGAGTTTGGGGAAATTGGAGGGGGAGAAAAACCATGAGAGACTGTGGACTCTGAAGATTATGATTATTTTCTGTGCCCCTTCTATTTACTATGAGGGCAGAGTATAATCTTACTCTCACCTTCTCTGTATCTAACCCCACACCCTCAAGATAGAAAGTATGAATAGAGCTGTGCTCCTTCTTCACCATATTCTCATAAAACTCACAAATTAAGGATTGTCTTCTCATTATTTTCCATAAAAGCCTTTCTATATGGTTGCTCATCCCAAAGAAGCAGCATCACTTACAGGGACTCATTCTGGGACTCTACCAACCCCAGAAGCCTCCAACTGTATTCAGATGAAATAGCAACTACAATGGGCTGAGCCCATCTACCTTCCTTTATCAGCTGGGACTATAGCTCTGGAGTCTGCTCCTTCTCCTTCCTTATACACAGATGTCACCCTAGAGCTTCAGAAAACAATTGTGTCTATAGGGAAGGTCGACCCTTTGGGGGAAACCAGAGTCTTCTTTGTATAATGTCAACAGTTGAGCAAGAAAAAACCCCAAGAGGAA